TTTCCCCCCAGGAGGCCTTCAGTGGCCCAGTAAAAAAACACTAATCGGGCCCCCCCCCCCCCCCCCCCCCGGTTATGAGTTTCTAACATCCCACAGGGCCCCATCACGGAAGAAGTCATCTTCCGCTCCATAATAGTCCCCCTACACCTCCTAACCGACCTCTCCCCAACCCGAATCGTCTTCACGACCCCTCTCTACTTCGGGATCGCCCACGTCCACCACTTCTACGAATTCCGCCTAACCCACCCACTCACCAACCTCGCGCCGTCCCTAGTCCGCACCCTAATCCAGTTCGGCTACACCACCATTTTTGGCTGGTACGCAACCTTCCTCTACCTTCGAACAGGCTCTTTGCCTGCAGTAATCGTAGTGCACGCTTTTTGCAACTTCTGCGGCCTTCCGCGGCTGTGGGGACGAGTCGAAGCGCCGGCATCTGCAATCCCCATCATCACCCGGGCCAAGGAGGATGTGGATGTGGGATCCGATTACGCTGCCCACAAGCCGCTAAGTATCGGGTGGACGGTTGCATACTACATTATTTTGGTTGCGGGGGCGTTCGCGTTCCATTCTCAGCTGTGGACGTTGACTGAGTCGCCGCATGAGTTGGCGTCTTTTACGGCTAGTGTCAAATAGATTGGAATAGAATGTTTGATGCTGGCATGCACGCGTACATGTATACGATATTTTTCTTTCTTTCTTTCTTTCTTTCTTTCTTTCTTTCTTTCTATTTTTTAACTGGCATGGGATACATTTTGCAGGATAAGGCTCAGCTCCCCTCCAGAATGGGTTTCGAATTAGTCTATTACCTTTATTTACCGGTGGATGGGTTGACCTGAGAGATTACATTATGTAGCTACTTGATATGATATATGGAGAACTAATTACGTCTGTTATGGTTCTTTTCATCAAATACTGTATTGCTGATATCCAAAGAGTGCCAGTTGGCTTGTAATCGATCTCTAAGTTTCAAAAAGAAAACTGTGTAGTTACATATCGAGAATACAGCCAAATTTGGGTATTATATTTCCCGTTGACTTGACCGTCTACCACTTGAAGATACTACAGTTGAAATACCTTCCTTGTCTTGTTTGGGATATGTAAATCGGATTGAGGTTTAAGTTACCCCGAATCTAGAACCTAGCTTCGATGTCATCTCGGAACATCGGCTCCAACCGAGTCCACACCTCCCAACAAGCATTGCCGTATGCAGTAAACAACGAGGGAGTATAAAGCAAAGCATTGAGTCCCCGACGACTTTCACGGCCTGCGCTACTGAATAACATATATTTATACGAACGCAATCATGCCCGTCAATCTATTTCCAATGCGACGAGATTTTTGTTGAAGAAAACCCAAAAGGGAGAGGTGGGGGGAAAAGAGAAAAAGCAGAGAAGACCAGCTCCTCAAATAGTTATTATTAATTATTTAACTCCCTTCTTTCACCCAGCCAATGCGACATCAACTTCAACGATCCCTCAAAAGAGCAGCAATAATAAACCTCGCAATGCCACCCAGAAGCAACTTCTCACATACCATCCTCCGCACAGTCCATGTCCATGAAAGCGCAAAAACCTTCCCCTTTCCCTTCCCCTTCACAACAACCCACTACCCCCAGCTCCGCCAACACAGAAGCGCCCGCAACTCCTTCCCATCCCGCCGTATAAACATTCCCCCTCCCTTTCCCGTGATACCCTCATGCCCGGAGCCTACGTGTCCCTGCGCGCCCATGCCTGTGATGCCTGAGGGACTGGAGATTGACCATGCGCAAAATCTCAATGGGACTATGGCGCCGTATGCACAGCAGCTGCTGATATCGACGGGGCGGGTGAATTGGAGGAGCAGGATTGATGAGGATGGGGAGGAGGAGGGGTGGGGGGTGCTGGTGAGGGGGTTGAAGGGGCTTCTTGGGAGGGGAGGGAAGTATTGTGATGTGAGTGCGTTGTTGTTATGGAATGCAGGGGGAGGGGGGCATGGGGAAGTGTGTTATCTATTGGTGGTGTGGTGGTGGCTTTCGCCATGGAAGAAAAATGAAGAAAGGGGAATATGGAAGCATAACTACATATAACCTGGGTGTGAAGGGTAGTTTAACCCTTAAATATGAGCTGCGCTAACAACCGTGGACGAAACAGCCCTATAACAACATCATGATGACAAACTCCTCCTTCCAACCCGCACGAAGCCAAACAAACACCGCGCAAGCCTCCGCCCTCCTCTTCCCCTCCTTCCGCTACTTCCCCGCCATCCCCCTCGACCCCAGCAGCCTAGAAACCTTCACCCGCGCCTATCTCCTCCCCGCCTCCCTCCACCCAGCCCACAACGTCCTCTCCGAGTCTCAAAAGACCCTCCTGCGCCGCGACCCGTCCCTCCAACCCTCCTTCACCCCCAACATGACCCAGATACACCACTCACCCACAGTCCTGATATGCGGGCACGGCCACCGCGACCAGCGGTGCGGAATTGTGGGTCCGCTGTTGCAAGCTGAGTTCCGGCGTGTGTTGCGCGCGGAGGGGTTTGTTGTTGTTGGTGGTGGTGGTGGTGGTGATGATGGTGGTGCATGTGGCGATGGCGAAGGCCATGGAAGTGGTAGTGGGGAGTTTGTGGATGCGATTGGACGGGCGAATGTGGGGTTGATAAGTCATATTGGCGGGCATAAGTTTGCGGGGAATGTCATTATCTATCTACCGCCGTCCGCGACGGTTGAGGGTGGCAGTCAGGAGGAGGATGGTGGGGTGATGTCGTTGGCTGGGAAGGGGATTTGGTATGGGAGGGTTGAGCCGAGACATGTTGAGGGGATTGTGGAGGAGACAGTGTTGCGCGGGAGGGTTATTGCTGAGCATTTTCGTGGAGGCATTGGGAGGG